GCACATTGTCTTTCTGCCTGAGCCCTACAAAAAAAACCTCCAGCAGGCCACTGGAGTGAATGTTTCTGACTAAGCAATCAGAAGCAGACTTCATTAAGGTTGAAGGCCTGTGGGCCCGATATCCTCTAGTTGGGGGCGTCAGGACCCCCATTGGTATTTGTCATATTTGCCAGAATTGGCAGGTACATAACTGCTGCCGTGTGCTTTTCACAGATGAGAACAGGTTCACCCCGAACACATGTGACAGCTGTGAAATGGTCTGAAAAAGCTGTGGAGAACATTGTGCAGCTAAAGGAATCTATACCATTGACTGGTCTCCTCGTTTGCCTGACCTAAATCCAACAGAACATCTCTGGGACATTATGTTTCGCTACGTCAGACACTACCAGGTTGCATTTCAAACTGTCCAGGAGCTCAGCGACGCCCCGGTCCACATCTGGGAGGTGTTCCCCCAAGACACCATCTGTTGTCTCATTAGGAGCACTGACATTATCAGGCATGCATACAAGCACATGGGGGCCATACCAACTACTGAGTAACATTTTTATTTGCTGTGAAATGGACTAGCCTGGTGCATCATTTTTTCACTTTCAGGGTGTTTTTGAAATCATACGTCTGTAGGTTGATCGTTTTCACTTTCATCCGTTTCTGTGGCGTCCTTTAATTCCGAAAACATTCCATATCAGTATATATGTGATTTTTCCTACGGAAATGTGATGTTTTTAAAGTATTCCTTTATTTTTTTCAGCAGTGTACTAAAGAACATATCCCTGCTTCCTTCCTTCCTTCCTTCCTTCCTTCCTTCCTTCCTTCCTTCCTAATGTTTTAAAAATAAGAAACACTTTGAAACAAGAAAAACATGCCAACTTGTGTTTTGTTCTACTTTTCTATTCAGAAAGATCAAAGCAGGGGAATAAACATCAACAGTACTTTTCGCCTTTTGGAGCAGCAGCACACCTTTTGTTCCACTTTGATCCCCGTCTCTGTCAAACCCCCTCAAACCTCTGCTTTCTAGGTCTCTGATTACCTCAGAAGAAGCAGCCAAGACTAAAGTCTGGTTGCTATGGTAACGGATGTGGATTTGAATACCCTTGATGTGTGGTGAAAGTGTACCTGTATGTGTACTTGTTTGCATGTGTCTCAGTGAACGAGCAGCAGGCAGAAGACCAGAGGACTGACTGTGTGTGTAACGGCAGGTTTGCGTGGACACTTTGAGTTCAGACTTCACATGGCTCAGGGTGAGGTGGAGTTTAAGCTCTCTTTCCCAACCGAACACACGCCGATAATAAATGATTCACGCAACTCAGAGACAACACCTTCACTTTATAATCGGTCACAGGGGAAAGTGTTGTTTTCAAACACAAGCCCAGACGATGCAGCTTTGTGAAAGTCCACATGCTGTGTGAGCGAGCTTTTATCTCCTGCGGACTTTCTTACCCACCTAATAAATAAGGATTGTCTTTGGTTTGTGTTGCTCTGTGGTTTGAAGCGTGTTTTTTGAAGCGTGTCGGCGTGTTTTTAATCTGTTGTAGATTAGCTTCCTAATCTCTACTACCTAGACTTTGGAATAGTCTCCTGCTGTTAAAAAGCAGTTATTATTTAACAGCTTTCTGTTGAGATTTTTATTGTTCGTAACTGATTTTTGATTAATCTTATTATTTTGATTGTGCTTTGTGACTTGTCTTGTGTCTGCAAAAGGCGCTTTACAAATAAACTTCACTTGCTTTTTCTCAGTTTAAAGATTTGATAGGTTTTCTATGGCCTACTGTGAATAAGATACAGGTTAATAAGATTTGCGGATCACTGAGTTCTTTTTTTATTCATATTTTATACACCGTCTCACTTTTTTTTTTGTGTGATTGGGTTTGTATAGTACTTGTAGTTATATAGTAAACTGAGGCTTTTTTGACTTTTTACGATAATAGTTTTCCCACATTGATTAAAAAAGCTAAAATTACATTAATTCAGCTTGAATGTTATTAAATAAGCAATATCAATCCAATGACTAAATACATATTAAAAACGTATACTCTTATATGTTATTACTCGTAACAAGTAGAAGTACTTTAAACTCTTGATAGTACTTATCTTTTTACTTAAAGAAATTTCCCTGTAGCTTCTAAAGGAAAGTCTGAGGAATATCCTCCACTATCAGATCAAAAGTATTCATAAATGGTATAACAACTTAATATATTCAGATTTGTCTGCTTCTTTGATTGGTTGTAAACATGCATTGAATGTGAAAAACAAGTTGAATAGGAAGGTTTTGATACAACTGATCAACTGAAGGGAGAACTGGCAAATGTCCCACTTCTTGTGACAAGCTTCTGATTTAAAGCAAGTACATTCACCTATAAGATACAGTACAAATCCTCCAGTGGATGTGGTGAGTCGGTTTTTGTCTTAAAAGCTAACACATCAAAGGAAAATCTCTATCCCACCTACACTTGGCTTCCATTTCCATCTCTCTCTGGCTCTATAGCCAGCTTTTTGGGGCTTTAGGTGATGAATGTCCTTGGTGAAAAATGAGAAGGCTAGAGCCAATGTGTCCATGTTCTCTGCTCTGAATAGGAATTCATAGCAATGCACCGACAGACTTATGCTCAGTGAGCTTTTTGGCACGGTCCCTCCGCCGTGTGTGTGTGTGTGTGTGTGTGTGTGTGTGTGTGTGTGTGTGTGTGTGTGTGTGTGTGTGTGTGTGTGTGTGTGTCTGTCTGTCTGTCTGGGAGAGTGAGTGCGGCAGCCAGTATCAGCTAATTAAAATTTGAAAAATGGGAAATCCCAATTTAATTCATCCCCATGCCAAACGGGCGACTGGAGGTTTATCATATCACCAATACTCATAACTGATGAGGCACATGCGCAATCAGCTTTCCCCTACAGTCTAGCGCCAACTGAGCTCAATCTTTAAACCGCGAGCAGCTGCAGGCTGATCATCCGTTTGTTTGAGGCTGAGTCTCATACACCGAGCTGGGCAGGAAAACTGTGCAAACTTCTGATTCTGATGACGAATCACAAGTTCGTCTGCTCTTTTTCGCACCTGAGCCGCTCTCAGTTTGACCAACACGACAAGGATGGAAAGGTGAAAGTTCGGATTTTCTAAATCGGTAGTTTTAACGTGCGGTAATCCGTACTACTGACATAAACAGGGGATGTGAGGGACAAGTTTGAAAACAGAAAAACTCATAAAAGGAGCTCAGCGGCGAGGATGTACGCAGGTAAGAGAAATCATCCATATTTTCGCACTTTAGAGCAGATCGCGTATTTCTTTACTTAAACGTCTGAGGGGAAAACAGAGAGTTGTTAGAAACGCGGGCGTCTCAAGTCTGGTTTTTAGGGGGAGGGTTTTTTTTTTT